AGCCAGACACTTTCTCTCCTATGTTTCCATTGCATCCTGTGACTACTGCTCTTGTTGCACTTAAAACATGCCATCATTTTTTCTTTAACTATGTTATCTCTTACAACATTCTAGAAGCCTTCAAGATCAGCGATCATGGTTTTTTTTTTTTTTTTTTTACCTTGCTCATCACCATTATCTAGCACAGAGTAGATACTTAATAAAAGCAGATGAATAAATGGAAGAATGAGTAAGTCATCTAAAGAAAGATGGTAATGAAGGGTGAAATAAACACAGTAGCCAAAAAAGAGGTAGGGGAAGAGGGAGAGATAAAAGGTCAAATCAAGCCAGGAGAAAGCAAACAAATGACTGGGACAAAATGTCTTTTAGAAACATCAGCATTCTTTGCAGTTTGAATTCCTACGATGAAGTAAAGTGTGGATGAATAAATCACTGGTGAAGCAGCAAAACAAAATACCTGGGTCAAGGCTTTTATGTCACTGAGAAGATGGCTCAGCTCAGTAAATGAATAAAATGATTAGTATTTGTAGGGATGCTGGAGATGTTAGACCCAAAACTAAAATAAATATGTTGGTTGTTGTGACAGATGTTATAGGGTGAAGTGGAAAAGTTTTATTAAACTTCGATATTTGAACCAATGCTGACTAATTTTCTAAAACAGGGATTAAATCCCACAGGTCCTCCTTCCTAAATCAAGTGCTTCATCCACATACCTTCAAAGCAGGCAAACAACAAACTGACAAATACAGTGCTGAGATTATAATCCAGGGTAGAAATGACCCAGTCTAAGCCTTACAAACAAACCTGGCTTTTATGCTAACATTCACACTAACATCTGAATGTAGTCTAAATACATTAAGAATTAATCTTAAAACAAGTAATCAAATTATATTGCAAAAATAGACCCAAAAGGAGCTAGGAAACCTCATTTGTCCCTTTCTATATCCCTTCCTGCAGCTCATTCCACACTGAGAATAGACTGCTCTCTTTTAGAGAGGGACTTTTTCTATACTTTCCTCAAAGCATGAGAGGTATTAAGTATTTGCATCAAAAGGCAATAATAACAACAAAAGATAACATTTATTGGGAATCTCGTTTTATAATGAGCTAACAAAAATTCAGACCTGTCAAATAACTTAGCGAGCTAGTAAGTAGCCAGAGGGGAAATCTGAGCTGAAAGTCTTCCCAGGACTATGTTTCTACAAGCTAAGTAAACATAGTACTTCAGTGTGTTTGTATTCTCAAATGTAAATAAATAGTCATGCAGATATCCAAATGGATTTTGGGCTCACATTTAACATTTTTTTTGTCCCACATAAGAATGTGACTTACGAGTATAATAGAAAAACTCCTGTTGCAAGCTAATTTAGATCTATCATATCTGTGCTTGAAAGTACTATGTATTTTGACATACATTGTATATTTCATGTTTAAAATTGCTGGGAGATGTCTATTATGTACCCACCAAAATTAAAACATTAAAAAATAAAAAAAATTATAAAAAAGTATCTGGGAGAAAAGTAAATTGTCTTCAGTTTTATTTGCCATTTTTCTACCACAAATAAATAAATAAAAGTTGAAAAACTATTCACCCTCTGGAGCAGTAGGTAGAAAGTGATAAAATGCTATGTTTAAATGAAGCCATTTGCAATATAGTTTCTCAGTTGGAGAATCTTGCTTAGAATTCAATCAGTATAAACCCGCAATTATCATACATCATACTGTCACAGTATAGTTGGCTTCAATTACTAAGTGAAAGAAATAAATTCTCTTCTTTGAAGATGTTCTCTGAGGAAACACTGGAATATCATAATAGAAAAACACAAGATCTTAAATTGATGAAATGCTAATCTTAAGTACCTATAGTCAATAAACACTCCTTGAATGCCTGTGATGTGTAAGACACTGACAGAAGCTATAGGACATAAAATGAAGCTTTCAAGAGAAATGGGGATAATGAAAATAAGGAATGTAATATTCTTAAAGAAAGCAGCCACAGATACCATTCTCCATTTTGGTCCACTACAATTTTATTGCCAAATTGCTTACCAATTCTAAAAACTATATAACAAGTTTTAACATTAAAAAATAAATTACAGAACAGTAAAGAAAAATCCCATATACACACTTTTCTTTTTCATGTCTCTGTGTGTACACACATAAGGGAAATTTGTTAACTTTTACTTCTGTAACATTCTACTTCACTAGAATAACACTTGAAATAATTTCTATGTATGTAAAATCAAATAATTTTGCTAATTTAAAAATTACCAAATACTCTATTTTACAGAATAAAATGTTGCCTGATTCTAAAGAAAAGGTATCAAATTAACTTAATGTGCCAGATTACTTTTAAATTTCCAAAGATAGGTGAAAAAACTATGATTCAGAAAAAAACTCCAAAGAATTACAGATAATAATGCTCATAGAAATGCTAGATGAAGTTAAACCATGCATCAGTTGATGTGTTTCTTTGTAGAATTTTTCTAGTTAACCAGGATCTTGAGTTATGACATTTAGGAAATCTTCTTTTCCATTCAAACTACTGTTACATTAAAAAAAAATCAAACTATAAAAAGAAAAATAATCAAATCTGAGCAAAGCTAATACTCTAGATGCCAGACCTAGTTTAAATATAAATTTAAAATATATATACATTAGAACAGATTTTGCAATATTTACTGAGGTAAGGCTGAATTTTTAAAACAGCCTTTGTAGTCAACAGAACTGACCTCAAGTTCTGGCTCTACCATTTTATTATGTATGTTTCTGGGGCAAATCATTTATCCTCCCTAAGCCTCTGTTTCTGTCTCTGTAAAACAGAGATAAGAGACAGTATCTCAAATAAGGCTGTATTGAAGTGCTTAAGTACAGTGTTTAGTACACAGTGGTGACTATCAGTATAAACAAAATTCAGTAAATACGGTCTTCTACATAATGATTTATTTAGTATCACAAGGGTACAAGACAAAAATGATTCTCATTTTACTAAATAGCATAGGGAAGTTCACTATGAATAAACCATCTTCTAAAGTATAGGTGATATGCTAGTGGGATACATGGCAGTGAGGTTCAGGAAAGAATATCGTGCTTGGGGAGTCTTAACAGATGTTGGCACTCTGCCACATTTACCTTTCCTAATATGATGTAAAAAATACAATTCTGAACTATTTAAAAAAATTAAAACTATTTTCAGATTCCATACTTTTTTTTGTTATGCTAAAGATTAAGACTTCCATTTTCTGGAATTTGCAAGTCAAAATTTAGTGACATCCTGTTGCGAATAAGAAGTTTAAAACAAGACCTGAGTAATTTCCATTGTTGGACTATAGGCAAGTAATGATTCAGAAAATTGCTAATTGAAACATAGTTAAGTCATGATTTCAAATTTGCTCCAAGACAGTGGTAAATAAAGTGCTGGTACTGATAACACGTATGTATAAAATTGTATTGACACAATGTCACCTAGAAACTGTTGTTCCCGGGAAGACACAAATCAACTTTTATTACTGTTTATTGTTTTGAAATATTTTATTAATTTGGTAAAATAAAAATAGTAATTATGCTTGTTTTTGTAAAGACTTGCAATGATTCTTTAGATAGAACAAAAAGGTTCTCCTTGCTCCTTAGTTCTTTTGTCTGCTACTGCTATGACATAGGCAATTTTTCGTTTAAAACTGAATTTGAATATGAATGAATTTAAATTTTCTAGTATAAATTTTCTACCTGAATGATCCTGATGTTTTTCCTTTACGTTTTTCCCCTTGTCCTTACCTTTAAAACTTTTTGAAGCTTAAGTAGTACATGTAAATGTAAAAAGTCTGATGCAACACAAAATTAATAAACTAACTCTTCACTTCTTTTTCATTCTTCTGAAATAATATTTATCATAGAAGGAAAAAACTATTTCACACACGTGACACTATTTTGTTTATTTGAAATTCTTCTCTTAACATTCAAATTAATATTATACATGAATGAAGATGATAAGCTAGAAATTGATAGTACTTATATTTCCAAACTAATTAGTTTCATTAATTAAACTTTCCTGATGGATAGTGGAAACCCAGAAAAGTTTATACTCTTGTATACCCTTTACCTAAAGTGAATAAAGTAATGAATAACATCATTTGCTAGCTACATACTGTCCTAGTTCTTAATAAAAACTAAACCAGCTAGCACTCTTTTACATGACCCTAGTAACAGTTATTAAAGTATTTTTGTTTAAAAAATAACTTAGACCTAAGTGTGAATGTCCTTTACCAAAGCAAAGAGGTTGTGCAATTGAATCTGAACAATGGTATATAAGCTGAGACTTTCACAAACTAACTGATTCAATTAATGAGAACTGAATGCCAAGAAGAGCACACTGTTGTCACACTGAATAGAGCTTTGAAAAGTTTACGTGGAAGGTTCAGGAGGTCAAGAAAAAAGAACACTCAGTTAAGTATAATTTTTTTTGGGTATCTTTTCCAAACCAATGTGAATTACTATCATGGATGAAGGACTAGAGCAATCCTAAAAGGCAGAACTAGAATCAAATGATCAATTTAACATATAAGGAACAACAAAAAAATAAAAATAAAGACAGGAAACAACAATTTGAGAAAACCGGGAAACCTAAATTGTCATACATTTCATAGATACCAAATTCACTCAGAAAAAACAAACAAACCTGCCCAAACAAGTACAGTCTTTCTTCTACCCACTGATAGAGTGAAATAGCTTTATCCTTTTGGGACATCCTAAAGTAACAAAAATCCACTGAAAGTTGTCCCTATATGTGATGCTTACCATAGTCATGCATATGAACTTTAAATGTCTTAGCTGCAGAATGTCTTAGCTCAGAATAGCTTAAATATTTCAAAAATGTGGGAGGGGATAACATCCTAATTTAAAAAAACCAGTCAGGTGAGTTGATAACTAATTAGTAACTGATAAATAACTCAGAACAAAGCTTCAGAAATGCTTGATGAGGCAGGTAAGGCTGACAGACTTACTCTGAAGCTGAGGCTGCTGGAAGGAAAGGGGCTGTCCGAACACAAATGGGCTGTGTACTAGGGAAGAGGGAGGTTTTGCAGCTTGATCAAAGATGGAAGGAGCTGGGAGATTGGGTCGTGACTGAATGGAATTCAATATGGCACTCAGTTGGTCACCTGCAGTGGGTAAAACAGTCAAAACTGCAACTCGTTATTCATTAACATCCAAAATGGCAAAGTAAATGGTGCTTTATGACATTCAGATAGAGTTGAACACTAAATAAAACCATGCCAATTCAGAAATGAGTGAAAATTGGTGACTATTAATCATCCTCAAATTAGGGACCAAATTTTGCATGCTATTTTTTTTTTTAATGGAAGCACCCCACCAAATCTTATATAGAAGCCCATCTATAAAAACAAATCCATTTACATTCATATATAACATCTCTCATTATGTATGGGAGAATGAAGACTCTATGAAGAATCAGTGATAAATTGCTTCAATATTGAACATACATAAATGAATATCTAAGTAAATGATGCCTTCTTCATAATTCCCAACAATGACTAATACCACCCTGCCTCATCGGCAGTATATTTCATGCAGAAAATAAGCAATTAGCAGTTTTTCTTTTAAAAAGCAGAATTAATGGGGCGAAGTATGTTATTAACAGAGCAATGTGTTTACATTATAGTTATAAATTAATATTTTCTTTTTTAAGTTGTTACTGCCAAAGAAATTCTACTTTAAAAGCATGAAATATTTTGCTTAGAGGAATAATTTAAAAATCTGTAAGTCCTATAAGACAAAAAGGATTATGAGCTACCTAATTTGAATAGAATCTAAAATATCAATTCTAACATTTTTCCTTGAACCAAAAGGTTTCACAAAATTTTTTTTAAGATAATGAAATAATCTGATGGATAATTTCTTATTTGTGAGAATATGTACATTAAATAGTTTAAATGATGCTCGAGGTGGGGAGAGGGAACTATATCCAGACTAGGTGATGCAGAAACTGTAAAATACTAACCTTCTAGTCATATTTCCTAAATATAATAAAGTTTCATATGCAAAAATTTCAACTGAAGTACCTACAAGGGATAGATTTATGTGGAAAGAACTGTGTACACGAGCCACATATTTTTCTTTTGCAATAATAAATAAATGCTGTAGATTATATGAAAAAAAATTAGCGGTCATGAGTAATTTTCTAAAATACTGTTTTAAGGAAAAAAAAAAAGCTTTTACAAAAAACAGTTCTTTGATTTTGGACAGTATTAAGAGTTAAAATGGGAACTACTGTAACAGATAATAAAGTCAGATATATTTCATCAAATTTAAATTTATTATTTCTTTGCTCCATCTAAATATTTTAAAAGCTTGTTAATAAGAGCAGACTTAATATTTTTTTAAAAAAACAGGATCCCGTTCTGTTGCCCAGGATGGAGCATGTAGCTATTCACAGGCACGACTATAGCAGACTACATCCTTAAACTCCTGGCCTCAAGTGATTCTGCTGCCTCAGCCTCCCAAGTAGCTGGGACTATAGGCATGTGCCACTATGCCTGGCATGAGGCATGCTATTTTTTGAACGATATTCACAAAAATCACATGTTTAAAAAGTAATACTTTATTATTTCTACATAATAACAAATTTTCTCGGCAATGTTTGTGTCTCTTAAACATTTACATTTATTTTAATAAATTATAAAGACTGATTTACACAATGACAGACATTTTAAAGACTGAAAGCATACAACTTGTGTTAAACAAGGCTTTAAAACATTACTATATAGACATATAGTAGCAGTAAGCAAATGCTGAGATTTTAAGAGTTGACAAAGGTAAAGAGAAAGGGACATAAAGAAACCACCACCAAGCATTTACACTATGTAAGTACAAAGATCTGGCTTAAATTAATGGAAATCAGGTACCCGAAGTAAGTGAGCAGATAATACCCAATCCTATGGGATAGGCTAATCCAAGGGAGTAAAAAAAAATCTTGTGGCTAGGTTTCCTTCATAAAAATACTCTGTGGAAAGTAACGAAGCTATTCAATAGACGTAGTTTTATTTTAAACAGAATATTCCTTATACATTGATGTAATTCTGTATTTTGTTCACCGTTTTATTTTTTCACTTGTTCTGCAAGTCAGGTATAATGACACTGTATTTGTCCCTTGGAATCAAGTCCTGTGAATTAATTTAAATAAAATTAAAATAAAATGATTTCCACATAGGCTATCTGCTCCCTTTTACCCATGACCCAGCTGTATGTTACCTGTGGACACTAGGGCTGATTTTGAAGGAGTCTAGATCAGGTACATAGGAAAGAACAAGAGTGTGTGAATTCACATAAAAATGCAATTTCTGATGAACCTCCAGCATAAATTGTTTAAAAATTAACTATTGTTTGGACAGTCCATGATGCTGGTCTCTTCCATTAATGCAGCCAAAACAGCTATATATATTTTATATTCATATGACTTTGGATTTTTTAATTTTTACAACTTTCTGGTTTTATTACAGATACTAAAACCAAACATATCATTTCACATAATTCTAAATTAAGATTACTGGGTTAGAAATTCAAAACCACATAAATTTTATAAAGCTCATGTGTAATATTACTTAAAATATTATTTTAAGTAATAGTCTGATTATTTAAGTAATAGTCTGATTTTAAATGGATCATTTGAGAAAGTTCTTTGTTGCTCATTAACCTTACCATCCTAATAAGTGGATGATAAAAATAACATTTTACTAGATTTAGTGAAATAGAATCTTTAGGATATGAAATAAAAATGAGTGTTTTTTAAATAGAAAAAAAATAAGCAAGCACAGTCAGAAATTTAAGCCAAAACTGGTAAAACCAAAACGAAAACCAAACAAACCAAAAAAAAAACAAACAAACAAACAAAAAAAAACAATACTATGAAAAGAAGACCTTTGTAAACATTTTGTATTAGCTTTCCAGAAACAAATTTTAATTTAATAAAGATTTCTGGGTGAACACAAATAAAAAGTGTATACAAGAGAAGGTAATAAAAAATATTGAAGTTAGGTAAGTAAAATACTTAGTTTTAAACACCTACCTTTGTTATTTCCGAGTCCATAATCAAATCCTTGGGCACTGCAACTTGCCCCTTTATTAAAAGCTTGCACTGAGAAAGGGCTTGGAGGAGGAGTTTGAGAATTCTGATCCAGAAGAACTTGTTCTACAATAAAAGCCACAGCTGTAACATTAGTTTCTTATATGCTATTCCCTATTCATACAACAAAGAGAGAAAATTGCAAAAGATTTTATGATGGTTAGATTTTAAAATAAGCTCATGTCTAGATTTGATAAATTAAAATACCAGCCAGGTCATTTTAACATTAACAAAGCACCTGACAAATCTTTATTTTTATTTATCAAATACACAGTGAAATTTAGAAATGAGATATGCTCTTATGAAGCCAATTTACTTTTATTGTGATAGGATATATTATTGAATGCATACTAATACTTCTGGACCAGGAACTCTTTGTATTTGTAACAAATTTATGCAAGAGAATTTTGTAAAACAAAAATGAATAACCTATACACCAGAAATAAAAGTATTTTGTATATTAGTATTAGAATAGAGAAAAAAACTAAGTATCTAGTACCAAAAGGAATTTTCATTTGTTAACTGTTCTAAGTCATGAATGTGAAAATTATAGAAAACTTAACTTTTAACTTATTTTTATTACATAAAGATATTTTTCCCAAATAGAAGGATAATAATAAACAACGTTACATAATCAAAGTCTATAAATGTATCAGAATTCTTATTTCAAGCAGAAAATGGCAAATGTTTTATCCATTTACAAATGGCAAGACGCGACCTATAAAATATGCAAACTAAATTAATCCCCTATGAACAATCAAGTGACTCCAAGATTCTGTCTGATATAAAACAATACCTTAGCTAAACATCCATATTAATGCCAGCCAAAAAAGGCAAAATAAAGCCTGTCAAGTAAAATCGGGGGGAAAAGGTATTAATTCCATTAAAATAACCTTATGAAAAATGAAATATCTTCAGTATATTTTTAAATATCTTATTTTAAAATATCTTTAGATATCTTAAATATATTTTTTGAAAGTCAATATTCCTTTAAACAGAACAGGGAACTACAGACAGGGTGTGGTAGAGTGTTTCCTTCCTACCTGTAAATTGCAATTCTGCTGTACCAGTGGTACTGTATAATCTATCCCTTTACCAGCATTTGTAGACTTTATTTAAAAAGTCAATCCTAGCACTTCCCTTATTAGGCAATACTCTTCAGCATGCACTATTTCAGCAGTGGAATGTTTCTTCAAAAAACACCCACGAACAGTAAACTGAACGGAAAAGATAGTAGTGCTTCCCCTCTAGACTAAGAATGGTCTAGCATCCAGAGTGAAGTCTGTTTCTACCACAGCAGTAACTTTACCTACTACAGATTTCAAAGACCAATAGAGAATTTTTACAAAGAGGAAAGCTTTTGTTTTACTCACACGACTTCATATAAATTACCATAGTGCCAAATCTTTGTATTTCCATATTAAATATTATCACCACTGAACAGACTATTTGGGCAGTACATCAACTAATATTAGTGATTTAAAGGCACTAACTTCATATCATTTCTTTCCTTGTCGCTCTAGATTTTATATTTAAATATTAAGATTTACATGATCACCAAATATTTATATTTTTATCTGTATCTATATATCAAGAGTAAAAGATGATTAACTGATTACAGAGAAAAATTTAAACTTCTCTTAAATGATACTCTAATTTAAGAGGCATTTTATCTTGGAAGAAGCTTCTATCTTCTAAGTTTATAAGAATAAAATTTCCCAGGTTAAAACTTGATCCTTAGTATGGAAGGCATTTTGCATTTTAACAATAATACCTAACTTACCATCCATTAGCTTTATCTGTTACTTGCTCATTTAGTCTTCATATCAAATTTATGTGGTTATGACTTATAAAATCCTTTTATAAATGGGAAAACTGAGGCACAGAGATATTAGGTTAACTTGGTCAAGGTCACATGAGTAAAAATTGTATAGCTGGGATCAGTACCGTGGCAGTCCTGCTTCAGAATCCACTCTTAGATATTTTGTTGTACTACCAGTTAAAAAATTATTAAGCATTAAGCTAGAAAAGTCCTTTGGAAGTCGCCTAAGCTGTTCTCATATTTAAATTATCTTAAATAAAATTGATTTCACCTTAGGTATTTTCATTTATATCTGAATATTCCTATATAAAGAAAAATGTTTAAAAATTTATGAATATGTAGTAAATATACAAAAATATATAATAAGCATGTAGTAACTGAAAAAGTCATTTAGTACATGTCAATTTACATCAAGCGGAACCCTTATCTTTTTCAAATGAATAGTTCTACTGTCTCAGGACATTATTTTATGACCACATCATCTCACACTAAAAAAAGTTTATCTGGGAAAAACAAGGGGAGGAGGTAGGTTCTCAAGTTGTGCTCAATGTGTACAGCATGGTGTAATGCGTGCAGCATTTAAAACATGAATGAAGATTCTGGCTGAAGTCTTACATCTGCTATGTCACCAGCTGTACAACAGTAGACACATCATTTTAAATTCTATGAGCTTGAATTTCCTTACTTATAAATTGAAGATTATATCACCTACCTCAAAGGTGTGTTGTGGGGGGAAAAAGGGAGATATCTCCAAAGGTACTCCATCATTACTGCAAATTTCAAACCTTTTTTGAATCCATATTTATGGTCACATTGGGCCTCTTGGAATAATAAGTATTATAAATTTATTATCTTTTGAATAAAGATGCATGTTCTCTTATTCATCTAACCTCATCCTATAAATTTTGGGATTTGGCAGACAAGTCCATGTTTGCTTACATACTTATTTTGATGTGCTATTATTTTTATAATTCAAGTTATATTACAAAACTTCATGAGCATCTAGTATGTGTCAAACTGTTTCAGAACTAAGAATGCAAAGACAAAAACCATGTGCCTGTCCACAAGGGACTCATAACTGGGTATGAAGAAATAAACATGAACTTCACTGTGATAGAATCGAATTTTTTTCTAGTGGTGAGCACTACTCTTTAGGAACACAAGAAGTTCTTGGCTCTGTTGTGATCAGTTAAAGCTTCACACAAGAGATAATGTGGTCTCAACTTTGAAGAACAAATTTTTGCCACCAAGATATCAAAGAGAGGGGAACAAAAAGGAATATATTTTATTAAGTGAGATCAATGTTGAAAAAGGTAAAATAAAATTTAAAGTTGAAAATCTAACAACAGGAAATTCTAAAGACACTATGCATTTATTCAATGTTCTTTCCCTAAGACAAAATGCAATCAAATGAAATTGCCTGGGAGAAGTACTGAGATTGGTAGTTTGAATACTGAATTTTCATTTTATTATAGAAGGGATAAAATGTTAAGTCCTGGACTGGTACAGAAGAAAGAGGTATACAACTTTATATTAATGAAATAAAAAGCCTGTTTTATATGTTTCCAATTTTCTTTTAATTTTCTTATTTACTGTGCATTAAGTACTCACGTATTTTACAAACCAATTTTAACAGTTGCAAGATTTTTTAATTTTTAGTTTTGCTTTTACTTAAAAAAAAACACAAAAAAAACTCTTTAAAACAAAAGCAATACAATAAGCATAAAACTTCTGTATCTGAAAGCTTAATTGGAATAAATCACAAATTTAAGCCAACTTGCCATCTTCATGTCGGAGGTACTGGTTTCCGCCTCTGTCTCTAGCTAAGGACCATGCCTCTCCTTCATCACTCTCACAGAACTCTACCATGCTGTTCTGATCCAGTTGCACCCATGTCCCTTCAGAATTGGTTACCTGGTACATAACAAAAAGCATGATTGATTGGCTTGATTCTTTTAGGGAACTCAGTATGAAAACCAGTAAAAAGCTCACATGTCTGAATAGTGTAATCATTCCAATACATTTCTACCAAGAAATTAGTTTCTGAAATTAAGGCCACAGCCTGAGGTAAGACAGAAGTCAATAAAAAGTTCTGTAAAATACTGCTTATTTATGAATTTGGTTAAAATAATAACTTTCAAAGCACAAAGATAATCCCTAAATAATTTTAAGTGTTACCCAAAAACACATGGCTCATTTTCTTTTTTCTGCACCTAAAATGTCCTAACACAGCCGATTTGCTATTATTTAGGTTGAGAGTATCCACAGTGTAACTTGAAAATGACCCCTACTGAGAAATAGCATGACACACTACATCTTCAAGCTTATCAGCTGAGGCAAATGCCACAGTAGCCTAAAGAGTAATTTTATTTGCTCAGGACTTCAGTGAGACCTATGAATGGGAACAAAGAAGTGAAACCTTTTGCATATGATCACATCTCCATACCGATCACATAGAATATTTTAAGTGCTGATAATCCATGATGGTATAGTACATTTGTAATAATGAAAAAATATATGCAAATACCAAACATTTATATATACAATACAAATCATTTGTTAATATATTGTTTTCACAAGGATAATTATGCAAATCATTAGACAGAAGCACAGAAAAATTATGTATTTGCAATACAAGTAAAGATAAAATACATTAACATTGAAAAACCAGTGGCAGAAATGGCAACCTTTAGAAGAGATGCTTTGGTTGTATTATATTAAAAATGAGTATCTTAGAAGTCATGAAGCTACAAGAATCCATACCTCTCCCACTGCTTTGACTTTGTTTCCCAGAACTAACATTCCAATTGGGATACCTCTAAGGTTAGGGCAGCTTCTGATGTTGTGACCTGAAGGTCCCGTCTTCACTACCTTGTACATGCCTGGCCCTCCTCGCAAGAATGGCATATCTTGTTCTTGCATTGTTGCTTCCTGTGGGCAGCAGGAGTTTATGTCTTTGAAAAAGTCATCAGTATTAGTTTTAGATTCCTGAAAATTTGAATAGGAAAGAAAAATAAACAAAATACAATCTATTATCACTTTCAAAGCCTTCCTATTAACAGCTTTTATAGCAAGTCTACAGTACTGTCAGTATATAAAAAAAACCCACATAACTAAAGATAACTGAAGAATTAGTCATTGGTACTAAAGAATCTGTTTTTCAACAATAAATGCTATTTAAAATAAAGTTGAAGTCAAGAAAATGTAGCAGGAAACCAATCGACCTCTGGCTTCTGCCCAACACAATTTGAGAAATACAATCATTCTTGATTTGACTTTTATCTTTAATGCAATGTTTAAATTTAACAGTAGGAAAAATAAAAATACTATACTATGTGAACCACAAGGGAATAACTTTGAATCATTATTACCGCATTATTGTATATTGTTATGGGTTAAAAAAAAAAAAAGTCTAAATATTCACTTCTTCCCATGTTGAAATACTTATTTATAAATAGAGAAAACAGGTATGAAGAATCTGAAAACTGATCCATAAGCAGAGATGATGAAAAATATGCATTAAAATATAGCTATATCTTGGTATTTGTTCATTATGAATGAAATAATGATGCTTACAAAATTTTAACAATGTATACTTTCTAATGTTGTAGAAATAAAAATGTCTTGCTAGATTTGTTAAGCCATTACTATGCAGTGATACATTAATGCTAGTAACAGAAAAGACTATATTTTTAGTAGAAAGGAGAAATTGAACATGGATTTAAGTAAATATAACATAAATTTATATTACTGAAAAGAGTCACTTCTAAAATGAAAGAAAAGAACCTACCCTAAATTTGCTGTTAAATTGCAATGCTGTGATAAAATTGTTTCCTATGTGAATGGAATAAAGAGAAATAATAACCTTTCCATATTTTCTCTTTTTCCGAACTAAATGCAAATAAAGGGTCCACACTGGGTGTTCTCATTGCCATCACTACTCCTTTAAAAGAGATTTAAAACTGCATTTTTAAATACAGTAATATGAACTCTAGAATTTATTTCATATTCAGATAGAGTACTAGATAACCATAAAGAGACACACATGCAAACATTAGGTTAAAACTGATATTTAATAATGTTATAAATAGAATAAAAATTTAAAAACATTATACAAGACAAAATTGTATTAAATAGTTCTATCCCTACCAGTAGCCTCATATGAAGAGACATGTATACATGTTCATATAGACAGTAACACAGAATATTAAAAACAAGATCCTCAGGTTTAAAAATATGTGGATTCAAGAATTCTGTATACCTGCTACTTTGTTATTTCCACACATGACTGGTCAGGGAAAACGTTAAAGTCACCATTAACTTTCAAATATTTTGTGAATCTCACTGTAGTGATGAATAACCAATTTTTACTTATACAAATATGTACTAAGAACAATTAATTTACATTTACTATAATTATAGTTTATTTACCAATATTCTTTTGTTACATATTGGAAATTTAATGGAAATGAGAATTTTAAACACTCAAAAAGCTTAGATTTACAACCAAAAATAAATGTAAAATACATATTTTATATACTCATCATATATATTTGTAAGAATTTATATATGTGCAAACCTATATGAATACACAGAAAGCGCTCAAGATAAAAATTGAGAGTAGCACAGGTCTAAACTTTACATAATACTTGCTATTACACTCACAAGATTTTCTGTAAACATTTTAAAATGTCTATTTGTAAATGGTCAATAAATAAATACATCATGCCATTTCACAGTTGGAAGAGGCAAGTTTTAATCCTACTCACAAATGATTCTTAAAAATTACATGGTGACATAAAAAAGCAAATATCCACAGATTCAGCAAAAAACCCCAATTTCATTGGTATTTAATAATATTCCTAGTGCATTTAATTAATTATAACAATAATTCTAACTTTTGATCATTCAGGGTAACACTGGGAGTTAAGCCTTGGTAAAACTAATTATAATTGCAAACTAGTCACTGAAAGGCAATTATGAAAACTTGTTAAAAATTTAAAACAATATTTTATTGTAAAGGTAATAAAACTATATTAATAAGTATAAAACAAAGTTTATCCAATTCTTGTGCTAAACAGTATAAAAAATGGACAGACATAAAGTCATAGAACTGTGCCTATCACACTCAAGCAATAGTAAAATAAATGTTTTATTCAATACTGAAATGTAAGACCCAGGTACCAGCATATTAAATTCGTGGAAATATTATTATCTTCTCCCTCCATTCCCATCCCATTCTCAGATGAACATTCAAAGAGGGAATGTGAAAGAGTTGGCAGCAGAAAAAATAAAAGAGCCATAAGGCCAGGACACTGCCACCTAAATAAGTTAGTTGTGAAAACACTAATCTTAGATATAATCATTGGAAAAGTCAGTCATAAACTAAATATAGCAAATTTGAAGTCATGTGGAAGTATCACTTAAACTAATAATACATTCTTTTTGGCAGGAGCAAGGAGAAAACTCAATTGCAGCACTTCACATAGATCGTTTTTTGGTTAAAAGGTTTTATTAATCTTAAGCAAAGGTTTCAAAGACACAAAACTTGTTATACATGCTGAAATACCTGAATAAAACATGATTGTTCCTTACAGTTAACTCACCTGGGGGAAAAAAGCTTTGGAAGTCCATGAAAATACGTCCAAATCCCTGACTCCTTGGCTAGCATTAAAGATATTCTGAGCAACAAAGTTTAAGAAAGAAAAATATCAACAAAGAAAGGGAACAGGATATCATCTGCAGAAGATGCGTGCACAGTAACAACATTTTTCTGTACTCTAGCACCAACACAGAATTATTATTTTACTAAAGAGAAACTGAAGCCATCTGAGTAAACAACACACTGAAGAAATTCTGTCTGATAAGTTTTTGTCAGAAGCTCTCCGTGGATATAGTGTGTCATGCCATTTACTAAAATTAAGAGCCAGACGTTGTTATAAAGCTTAAGATACTCAATTCAAGACAGAAACCTTAAAATTCTTTAAATGAGGACATATTTGTTCTAATACAAGCCAGATTTGTTTTATGACAGAAACCAGGCTGCTGTTTTATAATAAAAATGGAAATGATGTAGATTGTATAGAAAATGCAATTATTATTATGAATAATAATGGCATGTAGTTTATGTGAACTTATCACTTTTTGAAGTACAAAAATAAAAAAGTAAAAAATAAAACAAAAAGTCTCAGTCATTTTTTTTCAACTTTCCTTCCCTCTATAAGTAGGAAAAAAATCATTTGGAAATATTTCTGAATGCTACTAACAAATTTGATAAGAAAAACATAAATAATACAATCAATTTTTTATCAGAAGATAAAAATTTAATCAATTTTATCAAAAGACAGGCCTACTTTTCTCCATCTCAAAGTTTAGGAAATGCAGAGCATTTAGGATCTCTAAGTCAAAGTCTAAAAATGTTTTGTTAAGGAACAATCAATTCACAGAAACACCCCAGAAAAATCAACATTTTCACAAAATGTTTTACTGATAATTTAAATGA